TATTCAGCATTTGATATGTCCCTTTTTAAAGGAACTGTATTTCAAAATGTATTGCAGGCAATAAATGTTCCCTAGCCACTGCTAATAGCAGTATTGAGGAATTAACAATCTGCATGGAATGAAACTGTTGACTACTATTTTGTGGATTTGATTTTGTTTTTTTAAGATGCATTTCTGCCCTCCCAGCTCTAATAGTCTGTTCTCTAAGCTCTCTCCTCCCTGGAAAATTCTGGCACGAATGGCACCTCCCACTCCAGACTTTCTGTGTTTGGTCTGCTAAGGACCCTCATAGTTCTGTCACTGTATGTTCCAAGGCCACCCCTCCAAAGATGCTCTCTGTATTTCAAAGTTTATTGTTCTCTTATTGTATTGCCCATGGTCTTAACTGTAAAGTGACAGCATATATTGTCTCTCTTTGAAATACTATCTTGCACTTAAAACCTTCTGGTAGTGAATAAGTGATCTTGATCCATTCTGAATAACAGGAATATTAATAGAAGTCTTATCAGTACCTGATCAGTACACAAAAAGTAATCACTTCTCTTGTGGGATCTGATTTTTTACTTCTTAGAGCCATATAAGGTACTTGATTATAAACTTATACTTTGGTGTGTTGTTCAGGACCTGAGTTTTAATTAAGACAATCACCACTCTCCTGATATAAATTATATGGAAATAAAGGTAGCATATCAAGCCACAAATGTCCTTTGTTACTAGGGTTTCAATTAACCTGACTCTCAGAATATCCTGATAGCCTGAGAACATAAAAAATCCATGTTCTCAAAGATGCCATTGAGAGTTCTGAGGCCCATTCCAGCTCTGAAAATCTAGGTTCTATGGTCACTTCCTAGCTCTGTTCTTTCAGAACACTTCCAAACTAGAAATTCAGAATTCTCTGGGCTCTCCTGATGTTATCTCTTGTTCTAGGTCTCCATCCTCCTTACCCCTTCAATCTCCCTCTCCCCCACTGCCCCTCATATTCTGTTATCTATGTCTTCCCTCAAGTACCAGAGTCTATGCACTAAGATCCCACTGGCCCTAAGTATTTTAGTTCCCTGGCACTGTCCATCTCCCACTTTCTGTCTTTGACATTTTTTCCCCCTTCATATATTCATGGTTCTAGAGCTCATCAAGATCCTGTAGTCTGGATTATAAATTTCTTCCAAGATCTCACTGGAATTTTTACTAACCCGTCTCTCTCTATCCATTGGTCAGCTGAGAATAAAACAAAACAAAACAAAAATAAAACAAACAAAAACATGTTCTCAAGGAAGACATTGAAAGTTCTATGGCTCATACTGCCTCTGAAAATGCAAGCTGTCACCCCCTTAGCTCTCTAGTTTCATTCCCCTCAGAGATCAGATATTCAGCAGTCAATGTGCTCCCTTTTAATTCACTGTCCTTCAAAAGTTATTGTGGGCAATAAAGATTCTCTAGTCATTACCATTTGCAGTCTTAAGTAATCAAGGAACTGAAAAAAAAATCCAATTGATGACCATTTGTTTTTGTTTATCTAACCTGATTAGTGTACTACAAGGAATGGCTTGTCTTGGGGATTGTTTTTATTTCTTAGTGCCATATAAGGTACTGGATTATAAATTTATACCTTTGGCTGTAGTATTCTTCAGGACCTGAGCTTTAATTCAGACCATCACCACTCTCAGGATATGGATATGGAAATAAAGGTAGCATTTCAAGCCACAAATATCATTTCTTACTAGGGTTTCAATTATCCTGTCTCTCTCCATGCCTTGTCAACCAGAGAACATAAAATATCCAATGTTCTCAAGACTGCGATGCAGTGTTCCAAGATCCCTTCCAGTTCATAAAATCTAGGTTCTATGGCACCTCCTAGCTCTGTTCTTTCAGAACAGTTCCAAACCAGAAATTCAGCATTTCATGTACTATCCTGATATCATATCCTTTGTTCCAGATGCCCTCCCGGTTCTCACATTCTCTTCTCTATGGCTACGCTTAGATCCCCTCATCTACCTACTAAGGTCCCACTGGCTCACACTATTTTCTTTTCTATGGCTCTGTCCATCTCCCCCTTGTTGTTTTCTAAAGTCCCTCCTACCTCTTATATTACCAGTTTCAGGGTTCATCCAGATCTGGCAGTCTGGATTCTAAATTTCTTCCAAGCTCTTACTGGAGTTCCAATTACCCTGTCTCTCTCTATTCCTCGGCCCCCTGAGAACATAAAAAAAGAACTGATCTTCTCAAGGAATCCATTGAGAGTTCTTAGACACCTTCCAGATCTGAAAATCTTTGTTCTATATAAGCTTTGTTCTTTCAGAACCCTCTCACACCAGAAATTCAGACCCCATTGACTGGCTCTGTCAAATGGCTCTGTCCATCTCCCTTCTACCTCTCATAATACAGGTTTTTGGTCCCTACTGAGATCTGGCAGGTTGGATTATAAATTTATTTCAAGCTTACGTATTTTATATTATAATATCCTCTCTGATCTGATATTTTGTCTTCAATGTCCACTCCAATTTATGACATTCAAGGTTCAAACTGCCTTCCCTTTCTGAAATCTTCTTCTCTGTCCCCTCCACTATTCTTCCTTAAAACGCTATGACATTCTATGTGCTAAGAACCCTAACAGTCCTGCCATTCTATATTCTGTGGCCCACCCTGCTCCAAAATTTGAGTTTTTTCATTTGTTTATTTTTGTCTTTTCATACTACAAATGTGTCTTAGCAATATGATGACTGAAAAGCACCAATGTTGTGTTTTTTAAATACACTGCATTTTACAATTACTATTTCACTATTAAATACATACTCCCTATTACCAACAGCAGTATTAAGTAATTAAGGAACTACGTTTAACCAAATCAATGCCCCCTTTTTTTAAAAGCCATTATATCAGTATTACCTGATCAAGGCCCTACCACTTCTCTTGTCAGGGGATTTTTATTTCTTGGAGCCACATAAGGCTTCAAGATTTTAAACTTATACCTTTGGCTATGTTCTCTCGGGCCTAAATTTTAATTTTAATTCTGACAATTACCACTGTAATTATATTATTCAGAAATTCAGAAATAAGCATTGCATTTAAACCACAAATCCTTTGTTACTGGGTTTTCAGCCCAGCTATCTCTCTCCATTCCTTGGCCTTCTAAGGCCATCAAAAAACTCATCTTCTCAAAGATTACATTGAAATCTCTACCTCTAGTGCTAGAGTCCTCTCTCATGTCCAACATTTTGTTTTTTATTTTTTTAAAGGCACCTCCCAGATGAGACACTGTGTACTTTGGCTACTCCCTGGTCTGATAGTCTGTTTGTTATGCTCCCATTGGTCACAACAATTTGTATGCTCAGCTTCTTACCATCTCTCACTTTCTGGGTTCTGAGGCCCCTTCCAGCTTGGATATTCTGTATACCACTTACCCTTCTCCATCTATCATCTATCTTGGCTTCATTTTTCCCTCCTAGATCTGCTTAGCCAGATCTAAGAATCCGTATTCTAATGTCTTTTCCATCACCAATGGTTTTCCTTGAATGGCACCTCCCAGGCAAGATAATCTGTCGTAATGACCCTCTCGGTCCTGACAATCTATGTTTTATATCACCATCCTCCTCTCAAATTTGGATTTTTTTCTTTTCATTTTGAAATTTATTTTTATCTAAATATCTTGGCAGTGGGATTATTTAAAAGTAATTTTTTTTGGTTTTAAGTACACAGTACTTACCACATTATGGAAATCAATAAATATTTCCCATACATTATGAAAAGTAGTCATTTCAATTGCAATCTTAACACATCAAAAATTGCATGTAATCACTTTCTGCCTTTATTTTCAAGCCACATAAGACTGTATTTTCATCATTCCTTTTTAGCTATCTGGTTCAAGATCTGAGTTTTAACTCAATGAATCACCTCGATCCTAATATAAATTATGTTTAAATATTTCATTTTATAACATAAAGAAACTTTGATATTCTTTTATAAATTAACCTGTCCCTCCCTCCTACCTTTGGCCACTGAAAACAAAAAAAAAATACCTCCTTCGCAGTTCTATTGTGTGCTCTAAGGTGCTTCTCAGTTCAGAAGAACCATAAGGTTCAAGGCAGTCTAGGCATTCTGTGATTTTTGAGGCCACATCTACTTCTGACGTTCTGTGTTTTAATATAGTTTGGCAGTATTTTAATATTGAACTTGTGCTTTCTCAATAACTAGGCCCACTGAGCACATTTTAATTAAAAAAAACCCAAAAAACCTCTGCATCCCAGCTATGGTACTGTGGCCGTGGAGATCTTAAGACTTATGTCCTAAAGACCATCTCATCTGTGACATTCTGTGATGTCCAGGTCACTCTTACTTTTAAAATCCTCTCTGCTGCTAGCTCTGATTTCCCTTTTTCTCCATGCCCTACTAGTTTTGATGTTCTCCACTCTATACCTATTCTCAGGCCTGATATCGTCTGTGCTAAGGTCCCTAGACTCTGACAACTTGTGTTCTCAGACTCTTATCATCTCCCATTTTCTGTGTTATAGGGTCCCCTGAACACCCACCTCTGATATTTCAGGTTCTAGGGCCCCAGCCAGCTCAGACATTCTGCATTCAAACCCGCCTCCCAGCTCACAGATGCTTCCTTCTAAATGCTCTCCCAGCTCTGCTATCCTGGCCTCTCTGGGTGCCCCCTGCCTATATTGCCATTCCCGAGGCAGGACTGCCCTCCAGCGCTCACATTCACTACTCTAAGCTCTCTCTCACCTTTAACTTTCTCTTTGGAAACACACCTCTCAGCCTAGGTATCTATGATCTAAGACTCTATACCCTAGGAATTTTTTCCTATTAATTTCTTAATATTTATTTTATTACTATATATATGTATGTGCATATAGATATACATATATATGTTTTAGCAACACAGTAATTTAAAAAGACAAATGGCTTCCCTTTTAAAACCTATGTACTTAACACCTTATTGTTCTCAACAAAGACTTGTCATTCATTACCAATAATAGTAATATTAATCGCAGTCTTACCAGATCAAGGCACTTCTGCAATTACTTTTTTGCCCGTTTTTTTCTTTTGTGGAACAAAATAAGGCACTTCATTTTCACCAATCCCCTTTGGCTGTATTGGTTCAGTCCCTGAGTTTTAATACAGAGCTGCACCACTGCGCTGAAATAAATCATATGAAAATTAATTTTGCAGATGATACAACAAATATAATGTTTTGTTATTTTAAAATTTTACTTTGTACTTCTCAATACATAGACCTATAGAGCACATATAAAAAAAACAAAACTTCTTCCCCTCTATGATATTGTCTGTTCTAAAGTTCATCGCAGATCTGAACATCTACATTATAAAGACCATCCCATCTGTGACATTTTGTGTTTTAAGGGCTTTCTTAGCTCTGAGGTCCTTTCTTCAAAGTGTCCTAGAAGTTCTAACATTCTCCTCTTGATGCAACTCTCAGGCCTGACAACATTTGGAGTGCTAAGGTCACCTGGGCTCTGACAATTTGTATTCTCACACTCTGACCATCTCCTATTCTCTTTGTTATTAGGGTCCCTCAGTCTCCTCCAGTCAGACATTCCAGGTTGTAGGGCCCCATCCAGCCCCAGCATTCTGGATTCTAAGAGAGTTTCCAGATCAGAATGGCTATGTTCTAAAGGTTCTCCCAGAACAGATATTCTGGCTTCCATGGCTACTGCCTATTCTACCATTCAGAGCCCAGAGCCCTCCCAGCACATAAATTCTCTGTTCTAAGTTCTCTCCCACATTTAACATTTTGTGTTAACAGGCACCTCCTAGCCTAGACATCTGAGGTTCTAAGGACCCTCCCAGCACTGTCATTCTTTCTTCTGAGGCCCCATTCATTTCTGATATCCAACGTTTTGCTTTTATTTTTATTATGTTCCACGTATATGGGACTTAGTAAGACAATGATGTGAAAGCACAAATGAGGTCCCTTTTAAATCCTATGTACTAAACAATTATTTTTTTTTCATTAAACAGTCCCCATAGTAGCAGAATCAATAATGATAGTCTTACCCAATCAAGGCGCTGCATGGAAATAATTTTAATACCCGTTTTGTTTCCTTTTTATGGAGCCTGAGAAGGCACTGCATTTCCCCCTTTTTTCTTTGGCTGAATTGGTTTAATACCTGAGTTTTAATTCAAAGGATCACCAGAGAGCTGAAAAAAATTATACAGAAATTAATGGTGTATATCATGACACTACTATCTTATTGTTCTTCAATTTACTGTTGTTTCCTAAGACTTTAACACACAGAGCACATTAAAATCCTTCTTCCCCACTATGATATTGTTTGTTCTATAGTCCCTCAAAGGTCTGACCATCTATGTAGGGCTGTCCCAGCACTGAAATTGTTCCGTGTTCTAAGGGCTCACCTAGCTCTGGAGTCCCTTCTTCTAAGTACCGTCCTATCTCTGACACTCTTCTATGTCTACTCCCAAGCATGTCATTTCTATGCTAAGGTGTCCTGACAATTTGTACTCACAGGCTCTGCCTATCTCCCACTTTCTGTGTTATAGGGTCCCCTGAATGCCCAACTCTGATACTGTAGGTTCTAAGACCCCACCCAGCTCGGGCATTCTGGATTCAAACCCGCCTCCCAGTTCATAGATGCTTCCTCCTAAATGCTCTCCCAGCTCTGCTATTCTGGCCTCTCTGGGTGCCACCTGCATATATAGACATTCAGAGGCAGGACTGCCCTCCAGCTTTCCTATTTTCTATTCTAAGCTTTCTCATCTCCAACATTCTCTTCTGAAAGACACCTCCAGGCTAGACATCTAGAATCTTCCCTGGTGTTACATTGCAGGGATTTTTTCTTTTCATTTCTTAGTAATACAGTATTATTTTTTTTGGCAAGGCAATTAGGGTTAAGTGACTTGCCCAGGGTCACACAGCTAGTAAGTGTCAAGTGTCTGAAGTCAAGGTCCTTCTGACTCTAGGGCTGGTTCTATATTCACTGCACCACCTAGCTGTCATGTAATGCAGTATTTTAAAAGCATAACTGGTATCCCCTTTAAAACCCACATTTATAAAACCTTATTTTTAAGGATCAAATACAAAATGCTCTGGCATTTGAAGCACTTCATACCCTAGCCCCCTCCTACATTTCCAGTCTTCTTAAACTTTACGCTCCAACACATACTCTTTGAACCAGTGACCCTGGTCTCCTGGCTGTTCCACCAATAAGACCCTCCATCTCCTGGCTCTATTCATTGTTTCTTGCTGTCCCCGATGCCTGGAACACTCTCTCTCCTCTGTTCTGACTACTGACTTCCCTGGCTTCCTGTAAGTCACAACTAAAATACTACCTTCCACAGGAAGCTTCCCCAACCCCTCTTCATTCCAGTGCCTTCCATCTGGACATTATTTCCTATTTATCCTGCATAAAACTTGCTATGTACATGTGTTTTCATGCTGTCTCCCCCAATAGATTTTAAACTTCTTGAGGGCAGAGACTGTCTTTTGCCTCTTTTTTTATTCTCAGGGCTTAACACAGCCTAATGCATAGTAGGCATTTAATGAATGTTTACTGATTTTCAACTCCTTTTCCATTACTAGTAATAATAATATCAATAACATTCTTACCAGATGAAGGTACTGCATAGGATTACTTTTTTGCCTGTTTTTTCCTTATTTTAGAGCCACAGAAGGCACAGCAATTCCCTCTTTGCTCTTTAGTTGTATTGGATTAATACCTGAGTTTAAATTCAAAGGTTCACCACTGAGCTGAAATGAATCATACGGAAATTAATGTTACATATCATTGTATGATTACACTTTCTAATTATTTTTCAATTTATTTGTACTTCCCAACACCCTAACCCACTAAGCACATTAAAAAAAACTGTTCCTCAATAGGATATTTTTTGTTGTAAAGCCTCTTCAAGGTCAGATCTATGTTCTAAGGGCTGTCCTGCTGATGACATTCTTTCGTTGTAAGATCACTCCTACTTCTGATATTCCTTGTTCTAAGGGCTCACCTAGCATTGTTATTCCTTGTTCTAAGTACCCTCTTAGCTCTAACATCCTCTTCTCTATGCAACTTGCAGGCCTTTCATTCCTCTATGCTAAGGTCCCCTAAGGTCTGACAATTTGTATTGACAATACTTTGACCATTTCCCATTTTGTGAATAATGTTGGGGGGGTTTTGGGTTTAGTCATTTCAGGCGTGTCCAACTCTTTGTGACCCCTTTTGAGGTTTTCTTGGCCAAGATACTAGAGTGGTTTGACATTTCCTCCTCCAGCTATTTTACAGCAGAGGAACTGAGGCAAATAGGGTGCAGTGATTTTTGCTCAGCTGGGCAACAGGGACAAACACCAGTTTGAGGCTAGATTTGTACTCAGATCTTCCCGATTGCAGGCCCAGAGCTCTACCCACTGTGCCACCTAGCTGCCCCTTTAAGTACACATGCATGGTCTGGGAATAATAAGGCTGAATGCTAAGCCACCCCCCAAACCCTCACCTCTGATATTTGAGGTTCTAGGGCTCTATCCAACCCCAGCATTCTGGATTCTAAGATATCTTCCAGATCAGAACAGCTACGTTCTAAAGGGTCTCTCAGATCTGATATTCTGGCTTCTATGGTTACTGCCTATTCTACCATTCAGAGCCCAGCACTTCCCAGCCTAGACATCCAAGGTTCTAAGGGCCCTCCCAGGGCTGTCATTCTTTGATCTTTAGGTCTCATCCTTTTCTAATATCCGAGGTCAGTTTTTTTTCCCCACTTCACTGCACATGGGACTTAGCAAGACAATGATCTGAAACAGGCTTGCCACATCCTGCAGCCCGAATATCCTCTACATTTTTCATGGGCCACCCAAAATCCTTTGGTTTGCCACAAGTGGCTGGTAGGCCTGATCTGAAAAAATCAATGCTGTCTCTTTTAAATACTATGTATTAAACACTTTATTTTTCTTTCATTAAGCAGTCCCCATAGTAGCAAAAGCAATAATAGTGGTCTTACCAAGTCAAGGCACTGCATGGAAATAGTTTAATACCCGTTTTGTTTCCTATTTATGGAGCCAGAGAAGGCACTGTATTTCCCCCTTTCCTCTTTGGCTGTATTGGATTAATACCTGAGTTGTAATTCAAAGGATCACCACAGAGCTGAAATGAATTACATGGAAATTAAGGTTACCTATCATGGTGTAATTTCATTTTCTTATTTTTTATAAATTTAATGGTACTTCCCAATACTTTATCCATTGGGCACATTAAAAAACAAACAAACTCTTTTCTTCAATATGTAATCACTGTTATAGAGGTCAGAAGATCTATGTTCTAAGGATGAACCCGTCCCTGACATTCTGTGATTTTAATGCCAATCTTATTTCTGATGTTCTGTGTTCTAAGGTTCTCCCAGCTCTAATGTCTCTTGTTCAAAGCGTTCTAACATTCTCCTTTCTATGCAACAATCAGGACTGACATTTAGAGTGCTAAGACTGCCTGGGTTCTGACAATTAGTGTTCTCATCTCCTACTTTCTTTGTTACGAGGGTCAACTCTGTCTCTCCACCTCTGACATTCCAGGTCCTTGGGCCCCATCCAGCTCAACCATTGTTTTTATTTTTTAATTTTCACTTATTTATTTTTGAAATTCATATTTTTAAGATTTGAGTTCTAAATTTTCTCCCTCCCTTCCACCCTTCCATTAAGAAGGCAAGCTTTATGTTATCAATTATACATGTAAAGTCATGCAATATGAATAATGGCGGTCTTACCAAATCAAGGCACTGTATGGAAATAATTTTAATACCCGTTTTGTTTCCTATTTATGGAGCCTGAGAAGGCACTGCATTTTTCCTTTCCTGTTGGCTGTATTGGTTTAATACCTGAGTTTTAATTCAAAGGATCACCACAGAGCTGAAAGAAATTACACATAAATTAATGGTGTATATCTTGGCAAAACTTCACTTCCTCATTGTCTTTAAATGTCCTGCTGCCCGATACCTCAACCCAATGTGTACATTAAAAAGAAACAACTCCTCCAATAAGATATTGTTTGTTCTAGAGCTCCTCACAGGTCAGAAGATTTATGTTTTAAGGGCTGCCCATCTCTTATATTCTGTGATTTTAAGGCCACTCCTACATCTGAAATTCTCTTTCTAGAAATTCTTTTTCTAGGCTCCCCTAGCTCTTACATTCTCCTCTCTAGGCCTGACATTCTCTGTGCTAAGGTCCCTAGACTCTTGATAGTTTGTGTTCTCAGACTCTCATCATCTCCTACTTTCTGTGATATAGGGTCCCTTGAACACCCACCTCTGATATTCCAGGTTCTAGGGACCCACACAGCTCAAGACATTTTGCATTCAAACCCGCCTCCCAGATCACAGATGCTTCCTTTTTGAATGCTCTCCTAGCTCTGCTATTCTGGCCTCTCTGGGTGCCCCCTGTATATACTGCCATTCAGAGGCAGGATGGC